AAATGTTGTGTTTCTTTGATATTCAATATTCTTTTTTTTTTCTTTTTTCCCAAAAAGTGAAATAATAGACGCGTAAATATCTTCTCAAAAGATTTTAATATCTTTGATCATTTATTTGATTATGTTTAAAGTCATTATTGTACTGTAACTTTGGAGAGATATGATTGATAGTTGTTTGACGAACGTCCAGTGGCATATACTTCATGCATTTTTATGACGGAGAGCAATTTAGAGAATCTATTTCAAACAGGAATCAAGAAATTGCATGTGTTTTCATTGAACATAAGAGAAAATTCTCCATAAAGGGGAGGGGGGGAATAAAGAATCATAAGACCAATAAAATCATACAACACCATGAACATATACAGGCGACAAAAAAAAAACCAGCAATAAAAAAATATAAAAACAGGTAACTACAGATTGAACACGAACTTCGGGCTACCACAAGAAACGACAATCAGAAATATAAATATATCTCATAGATAATTTATTCATAGTAAGCAGCCATTTTTGTTGGTCGCTTGTTACATAGTCTCACTTAAATTTAAAAGAGACCACCAAAAAGGGACCAAATAAACAATTGCTCCTTGTATGCATTCTGATCAATTATGCACGCTATCCCGCGTGAATATCAGATATTTATTTGAATGTACCCAAGCTATATGATTGTGTCGGAAAGTTTTGTTTCATCTTTATTTCAGTTTTCATTGAAAACAAATATTTTTTCTGGTTGAATGTCACGGACAGTATACACCATGCCCTCTCATGGCGTCGTAATTTTTATTTTAATTAAAGAAATAATAAAGAGCTTATTTAACCACTGTGCAATATGATATCAAAATTCTCACGTGGTTTCTTCTTATGTCCTACGATTTTCTATGTATGTTATTGTTCATAGTTCTGTTACCTATTTACACCATCCGTAGCAATTATTTAAAATGTTAACTTGGCATGCCATATACATGATAGAAAATGCGGACGTGAAAGAAAGCACTTCATCAAAGCGTCAACATGAGATTACATTCCGTATAGGTTACATTACGACGATTTCGTCTTTAAAAAACAAAATACGTGTATCTAAAAGGAAATTTGTATTAAATTTTTATGTTGACACCCATATCGATCTGCTGGATGTAGAATTTTACGGAAAAAAACTACGGCTCTAATTTGAAACTGTCATAATTTTGTTTGCATAGCACAGACCGAGCGACCGTGCTAATTATTACAAAATAACGTGGAAATGAACTTTAAAATAATTTGCAAATTATTAATTTTTATTTCCAAAAAATTGTCTTGTTTTCTAATAAAAAAACAGTAATGAGGGCGTATCTATCCGTGTTTAAAAACCTCGCCGGGTCGGCGGTTAACGATGCTTCGCGAAAAACAAATTTAATTTTTCTTCTTTTTTGTTTTTCATAAAAAAGAAATTAATAAATCATAGAAATTATTCTATTTATAGCAATTGTACAAGTTCTTGGTACAGTTATTTCGTCACAGAATCTATCGTACCTCGGAAATGGCGGCGTTGAATCAGGATTTGCTTCTTAGCAAAAGTTAAATTTTCGATGTGGCCACAGGCCTCGACCACGCTAAATATTGTTGCAAACTGAGTCAAAGTGTCAAACAATAAAAATAAGAGTAAAATTACTTTGGTCGAGGCCTGTGGCCAATGCGAAATTTAACCAGGAAGTGTGAAATTCTTTAAGAATTTGGACATTTTGAGCGTTCCGGTTTGATTTCGGGTATTACGTCACATTAATGACGTCACAAAAATATGATTTTATACTATGATAACAAATAACGATATACGTAGATATGTTTTAGCTATAAAGGATCCACCTTATTTCTCTTTCATTTTTTGTCACCCCACAGGGCCAATATCGGCACTTTGTGGCCATACTCCTTTATAGTATTAGTCCATTTATTTACTATTGTGTGTTTATTTTTTCCTAATAGAAAGATAAAACTATTATAGATATCCCCGAGGAACCAGTAATGACGCACCTAAGGTTGTTTTGTCTCTGCATTTAATCTACCATTTAAAAGAATTAGAAAAACGGAATGGAATAAAAGATTGGTAACTTGTTATTATATTTCAATCATTAAACAGTTGATATTTGAAACAGTAATAGCAATAAAATTCATGTTTCCTAACATTACAAACGGACTGCCAACTAATGATGGGTACCAGTAATGACGCACTGTAAACAAACCAGTAAAAACCACTTGCACGTAACTGATAATCGAAAAATTGCTTCAATCCAGATTCTTTAAAATTAAAACTGTTCAACAGATTCAATTTTATTAACAACTTTTGATATTTTCATTCACTTTAATGATCATGATGATTGTAACACCAAATTTTTAATCAATTTAAATGAAACCTATATTTTGGTATATAATTGTTCAAAATTTATGAAAGTGATATACATATTCCATATATTTGAAAACAAAAAGTAATTGCATTCATAAAACAACATTGACAATAATACATTTATCAATGTATACTTCACACATTGAATGAAAAAAAATCGAAAAACCATAGAAAATTATATAAGCGACGATCATTTGTTCTACAGTGATTCCCGCTTAAATGTAAAACCATGTCACATGACAGTCAGGCGATTTGAAAAACACAAAATGGGGAAGCATACGGTTACATACTTTTCTTGACCAAAGTGGAGATAAGACTGATAATCTTTCGGGGAAGGCTAGAATTGTTTTGACCTTAATAAAATGGCGGAAATTGCATTGTCTTTAATATTTTAAACAATAATAACATTTCTGGGCAGAGTTTTAGGCATTTTTGTTGTAGTCAGATGACCTTCAACATCATGTTATGAACAGCAAATTGTTGATGACGTCACGGCTTTTGTTTAGAAATATAAAACCGTTAACTAAATCGGTGCGTCATTTCTGGTCCGCGTCAAAACAGGTACCAAGACGATATACACAGTGACTATTAATTAATGTTCAGTTTAAATGTGTTGTACCTTTTTAACTGTTTATTGATGCACTATTATACCCCAATGGGGTTGATGGTATACATGAAAATAAAATAACACATTACATTTTTAATGAAGGCAGCTCTAACAAAATAAAAAAAAAAAAGTATTTCGATGGAGAAATTGTCTTGTGATTGTGCTGCTATGGTATAAACAAAATACGTAGTCTATGATGATAACCAAAGTAAAATAATAATGAAACTAACTTATAAAAGACACTAACTGGTAGTTAAAGTGTACAATAAAAGGAATAAACATGACAGCTTAGTCAATTAAAAATTTAGAAAAAAACTAAATATTTTATCGGTAATCAATTTTTTTTCTTTTTCTGTAAAATTCTTGATTATAATTGTATGATTCCTTTCTGTAAATTCTCATTTTTAGGATAATTGGTCTGGTGCATTCAAATGGAAATGGAATTTATGAAGATACGCGAGAAAAAACAAAAAGGGAGAGACATAAAAATAAGAAATTATACATCAATTAGAAATATCCATCAACATAAAACTTTTTCAAAAATCAGATAACATTAAAAACATCAAATTTAGATCATTTGTAACAGTGAAAGATAGAAGAGAATGTTCAGCTATAAAGTGTTTTAAAATTGTACTTCAAACGTGGCAATTAGAAGAATAAATAGAACAAACAATATATGGAGTTCACGTCAATGAACCCATCAAAATAAAAAACAACAAAAAACTAAGAAAAATTCATAACAATATATTAGGATTTTAATGGCCTAACCCTAGACAAGTTATATATCAATGGTTGTATTTGTAGCTTAGGCTCCATTGACACACTTTAAGAGACGTTTAGTCGTGTAAACTGACTTACAGTGGACGTTGAAACGGCCGTCGTACCTAAAAATGTATCTGCATTTAGCGTGCGTGCAGGGAAAAGATACTTCGAAATTATGATTGATTATTTTACCTGTACAAATACATGTAGGTAGATAGATATACGTCAGATTGCCTTCCTGTCGCAACAGAAATGACTGTAAATATGTTGATAAGGTAAAAATGGTAGATTGATTTTTTTAAAATATCTTGGATTTTAATTTTTATTTTCTAATTTCCAAAATGAAACTGTACGAATGGTGGACTTTATACTGGAATATACATTGTCCTATCCTTATTATTCTATTCCATTTTGTATAAATTTCCAGGGAATCATATGGTCAATAATCTATTATGGACGTGTCAATCACGACAGGAACCATTTTAACGTGGTGTTATTTTATAGGATGTCCTTGGTAGTTGATTAAGTAATATTTGCCATTTGTCTGTCATCTTTATTACTGATAACCATCGTTTTGCCTGTATGTCTCCGGTTTCGGATCTGACATTTAGTCCACTGGGAATAAAACGTCTCAACAAAATCCGTTCATGCTGATATTTTTCACATTTTGTCATAGGTAAAAATTCTAAAAATGAGTTTAATTACTGCATGAAGGAAACACAAAATAATTTTGTGCGTCAGATGTATTCTTTTCTGCCATTGGAATTTATGATTAAATATATAACTGTAAATACATAATTTCATATGGATACACATTTACATTCATACTTTTTACAAGTCATTTTGTATAAAGTTATGATTCGGTGCCTTCCTTTTGAAATCTATACAAAAATGCACTTCGAATGCAATCGAAACAGTAGGTGTAACCTTCAGCTGCTAATATATTTATATGAATATGTTCTGATATGTATTTTGGAAGAGTTTGTGTTTCTTCTGTATAGAGTTTATGAACTGTTGAAAGATCCTTTGTCTTATTTTGTTTTGGCCTTTGAATTCTAGTAATGGTTTTTGATCACCATTCTGTTATCTTATTTTGTTATTATAAATAAAAAGAAACGTTGGTATACGTCCACTAATCTGCAACCTATCAACATAATCAGCCAAAGATTTTCTTACTTAAAACAAATAATGTTTGACAGATGACAATGACATCATTTATCATGCATAAATATATAAGAATATTTTTTTCTCTTTCAGCTGTCTCAGTGTGTGTAAACTGTTTCACTTTAGTGGCAATATCTGCCGAGCGATATTTTGCAATATGCCAGCCACTTCGATCAAGAACATGGCAAACATTATCACATGCCTACAAAACAATCATCGGCATCTGGATGTGTGCACTCCTCCTTATGATTCCGATAGCAGCTGCACAAGAAATACACCCTCTTCAAACTGGTAAAAACGCATGCCGGGAAATATGGGCAGATAAGTTACTAACATTACAAGTCATCTACAGTATCTTCTTAGCAATACTTTTGTTGATAATTCCGCTATGTGTTATGAGCATGGCATACGGTGCAATGTCTTACAAGCTCTGGTTTTCAATGAAACAACAAATGCAGGATCAATCAGGTATCTTGTTTGTTTTGAATCTTTAAATTTACATATAGTATTCCATTTCATAGGTTAGGATTTACCTAAGAACAATGATATCATCGTACTGTCCTATATTTCAACCAATATATAAACACTGTCAACATATAAAGCAACAAAAAGAAGAATTAGGACAGAAATTAACCTGGATGACTTTGTGTATGTTGGTTGTAAAGGGTACATATAACATTTTCTATAAAACACTACACAAAAAACTTTTTAATCAAGAAGAACCTCACCAAAATAGGTGTGATCTTTAAAAAGCGAAAAGGGGCTTTTCCATGTTTTTGAAAGTCGCAGACAGGCTACTATATAAAATATAGAATACATACATTTTGACACTGCTTACCTAACACGCCATGGGTGTACCTGCGCACAAGCAGCATTATTATTATCTTACATTCTAATATCTTGTATTTCCTGCATCAAGTAAGTCTTAACTTTGCTACACCCTAGTTACAACAGAGTGACGTTATTTAATATAGATAAAACACAGCTTCAACGAAAAAATGGCAGCCTCCCTAAGTGTTCATCACATACATGAACAGTACAGGCGCATATTTAACTATATATAGACATGTTCAAATGTACCATTAGGGAAAAAAAAGACAACGCTGCAAGCAGGAATTTCCATATTTTAAATTGATTGATTGATTGATTGGTGTTTAACGCCACTTTCAACACTATTGTGCTATTTCGTGGCGGTCAGTTTTTATTGGTGGAGGAAGCCGGAGTGCCCGGAGAGAAACACCGACCTTCGGTAGGAAAACTGACAATCCTAGTCAATTAAGATTGGAGTCGAGTGCACCTGCCCCGTGCGGGATTCGAACTCACAACCTCATTGTTGACTGGCTAGTGATACCGTGGTTTGACTACTTAGACCACTCGGCCACCGATCCCCCTCATATTTTAAAGTATTTTCCTCGAATGTACCACCTATATACCAGACTTGCTTCAAACAGATATTAATAATAAAAAGGTACCTAGAAAATTATTTTTATAAATCTATTACTTGTCAACTTATTGGGTTCATGTTTACCGTGTTTGAGATATAAGAGCGTACCTATCTTTTTTCCAGATTCAAACGAAACATTTTTATCTTCTAACAACGAAATCAACATGGCGAGCAAGAAGAAAAGACATTACGAAGGAATAGCCAATGTCAGCTTGAGACAAACAAATGTTAGGTCTAGTAATATTAATCGGAAACGTGTCATCAAAATGTTATTTGTCGTGGTGTTTGAATATTTCGTATGTTGTTCACCAATGTACATACTTAATACGTGGAAGATTGTAGACTATAAGGATATACATCCGCGACTTTCTGACGCAACCTGGTCTCTTATTTTACTTCTTTTCTATGCGTCATCGTTTATCCATCCAGTTACTTATTGTTTCATGAATAAAAACTTCCGAAAGGCTTTTTTATGCGTTTTTCGATGTTTCATCAGCAAAACCAAACCACTCGGAAGGAGCTGTACAGAGTTGAGCACAATGAACACATCATCTCTTCCGAAGAGGAGTAACATGATGAACAAACAGATGTCACAGGATTTGGCGTAGTTATTTAATAATTGTGCATTTAACGTTGAGAACAATGTTCGATCTAATATTTGGTTTTACAAATGCTGGGGGTATATTAGTATGTTGTTGGAAAAAAAATATAGATAGAAACTGAATGATCTGAAATAAATATTACATAAACAGCATGTTATTTTTATGTTCCAAATTAGATGTATTTTGTGACCTTCTGTTGGATTGTCCTGGTTTATGTTTGGACAACGCCAACATATTGTCATTGGATTGTCCTGGTTTATGTTTAGACAACGCCAACATATTGTCATTGGATTATCCTGGTTTATGTTTGGACAACGCCAACATATTGTCATTGGATTGTCCTAGTTAATATTTGTACCACTCCAAAATAAAGCTCTTTGGGTGATCCTAGTTTCTGTTTGAACCACGCCAATATAATGTTCTTTGGATTTAGTGGCGACCATTTTTACCAGACGAAGTGTCTTTTAAAATATAAATCCCTCGTTACAATGAGCTCGTTCTTCTGTTTATGAATGAGAGTTAAGGGGAACGGGGGGAGGGGAGGGCTTTTGTTTCCAAAAAGGAGAAACACTTGAAATTAAATTGATTACACTGTGCGATAACCTTTTTCTCGAGAACTTTTCACGAAGAACAGGATTAGGTAAACAATATATGTGTAAGCAAGTTTTAATTAATTTAAACACACTTCAAAAGTTTACGAGAAGCAAACCTTTTACGGGTTCCATTAATGGATATAAGTACATGATATTCAGTGAACTATAAACGAGATTTATATGTACTATTCCGTTTCTATTTGAAAATACTGTCAAAGTTTCATTGCATAGACTACATCTTGATGAATGCATAGTTGTAAGTGTTGATTTATTTTAACTGAGACTGCAGTTAAAACTTCCCAAGATAAAGTTTATCGAGCGTGTGTGGCTTTTATTGTTATGCCCCTGTCTGCGCCATAAAATGATCCATTGAGAGGTCTGTAGCAGCAACTTAGGTGTCTTGATTTACGGCTTCAGACATCTTTATTTATAATATACCGTAAAATGCCCTGTCTCTTTCTCCCATCGTATCTTCGTTCATCGTTTTAAAATAAAACGTTTCTGATTGGTTCAAATTACGATCACATGAGGTTGACAATGTAAAGTTTTCTTTGGCATAATCATAAATTCACCTACCGAGGATGACAATACTAGTAGTATTGTTAAACACAACGACAACCCCGAATTTACTTCACCAGAACATTACAGAAAATTCATAAAATTGAGAATGCATGGAAACGGGGAATGTGTCAAAGAGACAACAACCCGACCAAAGAGCAGAAGACAGCCCAAGGCCACCAATAGGTCTTCAACACAGCGAGAAAATCCTGCACCCGAAAGCGGGCTTCAGCTTACCCCTAAAACAAAATGTGTACTAGTTCAGAGAAAATGGACGTCACACTAAACTCCGAAACATATAAATGAACCAAATTAAAAAAATATACAAGACTAACAAAGGCCAGCGATTCCCGACTTGGGACAGGCGCAAAAATGCGGCGGGATCAAACATGTTTTGTGAGATCTCAACCCTTCCTTATACCTCTAGCCAACGTAGAAAAAATAAACACACAACAATGGTCTGCACTCGTTTGAAATTCATTGACACTCAATTGGTTTTTCGCTTTTATAAAATTTCTCATATTGTGGATGTTTTATTGTTTTCACATTCCTGGTTGCTTCCTTTGTTTTCCGAAATTTTAGCCATAATTTGTTTTGTTGTATAACACAATCAAGGTAATCTAAGATATCGCGAGGAGTTGCTTTCACTCCGGCTTCAAGGCAATGCATTATTGTATAAATTGTCTAGTTTAAAATCAATCAGATTCTTGACCAGGAGCGAATATAAATTCCATACAGACGTACAAATATCTACATGTAGCGGGGTGAAAATTATCATAAAATTTGCATTGATAAAACATAGGAACTTAAGAATGTATCTTCCCCTGATTCTTTGAAAGGGTTTAACTACTAGTATACTTTAGGTTATTTTCGCTTATATTAGCCTTACATCGTTTATATTAAGTTATGGATTTTCAGATAATATAGCACCAAGCATCACTGAAATGACATTACTGTACTTGTCGAAAGGTGCATCTGGTGCACTTACAATGCAGTACAATTGATACCGTTTAATGTAATTGATTTTAAAAACATTTAATCTTAGTAATAAAAAAAGGATGAGTATATTGATACAAGTTGGAAATATTGTCTCAGTTTGTCTCCAGTATCTTATTAACTGGTTGTTTGAAGTCATTTAAACATCTATTTATTTCTTAGAATTTGATCCCTTGAGTGAGTCTATATCGTTACACTGTCACTTGATTGCTATGAAATACCAATCAACTTAGAGTAACTACACACTGTATTTTTATATTACCCAGCATTGAGGTTAATAACCACAGTTATAGAGATTCTGTGCAGTAAAGATCGGTCTAAAGGTGTAATCACATACAAATAAAGAAAGCTGTTTACTTCATTTTTTTCCGAAAACAAACTATACATTTTATTAACGTGTCATACTAATGATAGCAATAACAGGAAAACAAGCCCCGCACAGAGTTAAAACACTTGTAACATGAAAGAAGACGATGTTGGGTAAATGCTAAAGAGAAAACAACATAAAATAAAATGAAAAGCCATCTAGAGTAGAACATATTGTTTTGAAAAAATTACCAGTGTCTTTACCATAAGCCAGGAGTTGGTTTCACAAAAAAACTTACGACTAAGATTGATCCTAAGTATACTTAATTGTTCATGACTTACGATCAATCTTTAATATATATAGTCGTAAGTTTTTTTTTTGTGAAACCGACTCCAGCTCTTTAACTTCCAGACTCTAAAACACTGCGAATGATAGAAAAAGACCCGCAAATTAACCACAAACAACTGGGGCTCTTTTCACAAAAAAAAAATCTTACGACAAAAATTGATCGTTAGTTATACTGAGATGGCTTACAAGTTTTTTTTTCGTAATATTTTTTTTTGTGAAATGAGTGGCTGATTCTGCGAATAAAAAATGATTAAAATATAATAACACAAGACAATGATTGTGAATACACATGTAGCGGGACTATAACGTTTTATGTCATTTGAAATCTCAATTTTTACCCTTTCAAACTTGATCACTACACTAACAATGGTATAATAAAGAACATATTATTAGAATTAGTACAGGAACAACGTTTCACTTAAAAAATAACCGTATAATTGCTAACGACATAAAGATATCAAAACTTAACTACTAAAAAAGAAATAAAACATACAAATCATAGTAAAAGTTTTATTCTACATTTATCTTTATTTGTTTTCTATAACTATTATTATTTAATTTTCCTTATTGCTGGTTCAGTTAATCCGCATGCACGATTAGAGTGATACATTTTTTTCTCATTGGTCCAGGGAATTTTACATTTTACCTAACTGGTCCATTTCAATTGGCCCTGCTTGTAATTTCTACTCAGAAAAGTTTTCCGTTCAAATCAATATATTCGTATGGTCATTCTTCCAATCAGTTTTCTCTGAACAGGTCATATTTTTATAAAGTTGACGTGTCGATCGACTTAAATCTTTAATTCTTGAAGTACTGTATTTAATTTATTCCCAGATACTGAAAAGAAGCTATACGTATTTTGGGGTCCTTTATAGCTTGTTGTTCGGTGTGAGCCAAGGCTCCGTGTTGAAGGCCGTACTTTGACCATAATGGTTTACTTTCACAAATTGTGACTTGCATGGAGAGGTGTCTCATTGGCACTTATACCACATCTTCTTATATCTATTATCCAGCTGATATGAATTATGCCCTCCTTAACTCTTATACTGGTTGCTGTAGTTAATAGATTTCATACAGCAAGCATAGAAAAGCACGGTCTCTTGCAATGCACAGAACAAACTGTACAGAATTAAAATGTAGTTAAATAATAGTTTAGTTCCTAAATATACTAAACATAGTGATTGAACAACAACAGATGAGATATAACCTTTTTCAATAAGTCTATCCACGGGCGTCATTCGGTTTATCGAGACATATGATCGTGAAAGAATAACTAACGGTGGTCAAGCAATACGATCGGTTCGTGAAAGATCTTGTATCAGATCGTGAATGCAATTAAGTGTAATTCTATTTCAACAGGTCGGTAACACTACCTTATACGGATATGCATAAATTAGTACACTGATGTCCTCGCAAATATAACTGTTGGACTACTACTTGTTTAGGATCAACCGAGAACACGTGTTATCTACTGTAATACAACACATGTTTTCATGCATTGCGGGATAAACATTTCAGCTTAGTTTTTCAACTTTTTTATCTACATTTATAGTTCGTGATGTAAAAAAACTAGAGGCTCTCAAGAGCCTGTTTCGCTCACCTGATTCTACTTTGGTTTTGGAAATCATGTAAAAATAGATTAAAATCATAACAGATACCCTAATAATGAGTGAGGCCAAATTTGGTTTAATATTGGTCCTGTAATTTAATAAAAAATCCTGGTGGCCATCTTGAACAGTAAGTCGGCAACAAAGTATCAACACTTCATCAGCACCTCATAAGAAACATTTATGCCATGTTTTGGTTTCATTCCATTCAGTGCACCTCTAGAAGAAGCATTTGTATGTATTTCCCATAGGGTCTTATGTTAAAGGAAGTCCCCCCATTGGCGGCCATCATGGATGAAGGATCAGCTTCAAAGTAACAAAACTTAGTTAGCACCTCATAAGGAACATTCATGCCATGTTTGGTTTCAATCCATTCAGTATGTGGTTCTCTAAAAGAAGACATTTGTATGTATTGTCCATAGGGTCCTTTGTTAAACATTGTCCCCATCTGGCGGCCATCGTGGATGAAGGATCAGCTTCAAAGTAACAACACTTGGTCAGCACCTCAAAAGGAACATGCATGTCATGTTTGGTTTCATTCCATTCAATGGTTCTCTAAAAGAAAACATTTCTATGTATTTCTCATAGGGTCCTATGTTAAACAAGTCCTCCGCTGGCAGCCATCTTAGATTATGGATCGGCTTCAAAGTAACAACACATGGTCAGCACCTCATAAGGAACATTCATGCCATGTTTGGTTTCATTCCATTCAGTGGTTTCCTT